CTCGTTAATACTCACTTGGACGGGGAACACCACTCTAAGATTTCAGCTTTCTAACTTCTCAGATCCGCGAGTTATGGACTTATTCGTAAAAAACTTTGGCAGGCTCGTACGTGGGTGCCACGCGGGTAAGGGCGCCCGTTTTGGGGGTTAGGGCCCGTACGTGCATGTAGATAAAGTTCCAAAAGTTTCAGCCCTGTTGTAAGTCTTGAGATTTTCATCTCAAGACTTACAACAGGGCTGAAACTTGAATCGGTAAAGACGACACACAGACACACAGACAACCCCTCGTCAATATGCGCTTTCTGTAATGCATAGCTGCAAAAAACGCACAAAAACATATTCCCGGCAGCAGCGCTGGCAGTTTACGCTATCTCTCAAAACATCCCCGGCGAAATGTCCGCTAAATCTGCAGTAAGATATATCGAGACGCAAATTTTGTTTTGATTTTATGTTCGAAATTTTTCCACAGTTTTTTTTTTCTTTTGAATTTTCTCGCTCCGCGACACTGCCACCAGAAAAGAGTTTCCGGCAATAGCCGAACGTTCGAAAAAAAAAAAACATGAAGGCTGCAAAATGCAACTGCACCAGTCATTACGGTTATTAAAAAACCGAATAAAAATTGCGTAGGAAGTTCCATCAAGAACCGAAAAGAAAGATCAAAATTTCTAGATAGTTTTGTAATGGCTATAATATTTGATTCGTTTTGGTCTTCCCACGTAACATAATACAATGATTCACGATATCAACTGAGGTTCGGCTTCCAGGGCGCGTCAACTCGCATCTTATTTCAAAATAAGCCCGTGTTACAGCCAATATAACCACTTCCATATTTGCATCCACACTGCACGTTACCGAAATTGAATATGTCCACAATCGAAACGACCGATAGCTGTTCCAGAGTCTGTATGACACCGATAGCTAATTCTTCAATATAACTGAAATAACAATAAAATGACAAGATTTCAATTCATCATTCAGTCCCGTCCACGACTGACCCCAGTTTCAGCCATTTCACTTCTACTGGTAGTGCCAGCGCAGCCGTTC